AAACTGCTATACAACAGGGGCCCCTCCCAAGAACAAAATACTAATATCTACTGGGCTCTTCTGTCCGCTGCCATTTGGAAAGACATCTCTTAAAGCCAGAGATTTGTGAAAAGGAAACAAAATGTTTATTTAATGCTATTCAGGCCTAATGCCTCCACTAAAATATCAAAGTCCTTTAGGGTATACACCTACACCCACACAGTGCTCCCTTCTCCCACTGTCCCAACTCCGGGTACCGTAAATCAGGAAAACAGCACACGTCTGTATTGCAGGCTGCTGGCACCGTCAGCTGTGTCACTGTGCAGGATCCCGAGTTAATCCAAAGTACTGTGGTACCCTCTCATGGTCCACTGGCAAGAGTTCTTTGTACCTAGTTCCAGTCAAAATCTCTCTTGCTTTCCAGACCACTCAGTCAAAGGGGGCACCCCAAAGCCGCGTGGGCCTCTTCTACCAAAGCTGCAGGGGTCTGTGCTCCACCAAAAGCATGTGGCTTTCTTCTTCACCTGGCTGCAGGGATCTCCATTCTGGCAAAGCTGCGTGGTTCTTCCCTTTCACTTGGGAAAGAGGGGGTCCGCACCCTGCCAAAACCACGTGGCTCCCTCTTTCACCTCACCAAGAGGGGGTCCTCACTCTGCTGAAACCGCGTGGCTCTCCCCCAGGCCTTCTCACTTAGGAGCGCAGCCCCTCGTTACATCCTGAGTCCTCAGGCCCTTCTCACTCAGGAGTGCAGACCTTGATTACATCCTCCTGAGTCCCAGTCCACTACCTTCTCCTTGGCTCCAAACTTGGCCACTCCTATTTAACATATCTATGAAACCAGGTAAAGGTTATAGATATGTTAAATAACCATTCCAGAGGTTAGCTCCCAAACTGTTGCTATGCAAAACAGCTCTCAATGGCCTGGCTCCATTCAGGCCAATGGCCTGGCACACATCCCTGGGGGGAGGTGTGAGGACATCTTATATGTCTCTCCAATATTCTTATACACTCTGAATTCTGGACACTATTCCAAATCTTTTTTGGGGGGCCCCCCTGGCTGCACCCTGTATCAATACTGTGTCACTTGTTGTCAATATTCACAATTCACAACACTCTAAACTGAAGCCAAAATTTTTGTCTTAAAGATTCTTTTATTTATGGAATTTTCATAATTTTAATGGCCCATTGTTTCTATTCTTCCTAATCTGGAATCCCCCTGTGCTTTACTCAAGGGCGGTTCATGGGTAATTTTGGTTCTCTCTTGGGGATTGTTTTTAAATTAGAGACTCATGACAACATATGTTTTAAAAAGTCCCATATTGCTTATGTCTGAATCAGCAGGAGATACAAATTCCTAATTTAGTCCACAGTTTTGTTGGCTCATTTTCAGGTTTTCAGATTTCCCAGTAGGTAGGATTGTTAAAACCTTTTGTAAAAGCCAACTGAGACTCATTGTGTTAAAGGTATCATTTGAAACCGCAAACACTTCACTAGTGATAACCAGAAGCCAGACTTTCATCTTAACAATTAACAACCGAGGATGAGGGCTTGTGTGGACAAGCTGTTTGCCAGCACATTCCCAAGTGCTGACACATCCTCATCACCATCAAGATTGCTCCTGCACGAACAATAGCCTGTGGGCAAGCAGTCTGATTTATTTTTTCTTAAGGAATCAATTTCTACTTAAATCTGAGGAATTTTTATTTACATGACTAATAAATCTGTAGAATGTGTAATAGCATGTTCTCATTAACCTTCTGGTGTTTTTCTTTTGCACTGTTGATATTTTTTTAGATGTTTGTACTTTATTTCCAAGTCAAGGCTGAATAAGATAAAATGAAGCTCTATCAAATTGTAGGGAAGGAACATGGGAATACCAAGGATCAGGAAAGAAAGAATAAGCTAGATGGGTGGCCTTGGCATAGACGTGGGAAGAGTCTAAAACTGGAAGCCTCTGGATAAAGAAAAATGTACAAAATGTGCTTGAGTATAAATTAAACTTTTTTCCTGTCCATCACCTCAAGGTGGTAAGTGCATATAAGAGAGCACTCATCACCCCAAAACTGTGAGGGGCTAGAAAGACTCATTATCAAGTGCAAAAGCTCTTTTGGTGGTTTCTGGTTACACTCGAATAGTGTGAACTCTTCAGTTAGGTCTTGCTGTGGTATGCCAGGGGGATAAAGTGTGTAATGATGGTCTAGCCTAGGATATTAACTAATGCTTGGAAGTCGCCCCCAGGAATGCCAGCGTTGGAGCAGAGCTCAGAACTTAAGACGATGTATTGGCCAGTGGCTGCCATATAGTTGAGAAGGTGAGCAAGCACCAAAGAGGACATTTGTGACTTTAATAGGGCTGGAAGCAAATGTTCCTTCTTCATCTTATTCCAGTTAGTTTAGAGGGTTCACCACAATGAAACTTCCAGCCTAGGGGATGATAAGATTTTCCAGCCTTAGGAAAGAAAGTCCTCACCCCGTTACTGCTGTACCATTGAGATTCTTAAATGAAATGAGAACCTAATAAATCCTAGAAGTGTTTGATAATAAGCCTTATTTTTAAAGTTGAACAATAGTGACATTTATATATTCTAGTTTCTCACTATTATATTTCTTGGTGGGAGAAACAATATTATTGTTCTTGACTTTAAAAAAAGCTCTCATCCTATCTTTCATCTCCATAGATGACTACCATGGTATCCTATATAGTTGATGCCAAATCAATATTAATTGATTTAATACATAAAAGGGCTCTACAAAAAGTCTAGTTTAAAGTAATAACATATCTAAAAGGACTTATCTAAAAAAAGAAGATAAAAATATAAACAGTAAGATGACAACAAACTCACAATTATTAACAACCAAACCTAAAACAAAAACAAACTAAGCAAACAGTAGAACAGGAACAGAATCATAGAAATGGACATCACATGGAGGGTTATCAGTGGGGGAGTGGGTGGGGAAAGAGAGGGAAAAGGTACAGGGAATAAGTAGCATAAATGGTAGGTAAAAGGTAGACAGAGGGAGGTTAAGAATTGTATAGAAAATGTAGAAGATAAAGAATATATACATGACCCATGTACATGAACTAAATGGGGGGGAATGAGGCTGAAAGGGGGTGTACATGGTGGAGAGGAATAAATGGGGGGAAATGGGACAACTGTAACAGCATACTCAATAAAATACATTAAAAATAAAGTAATAACGTTTCTATAAATATATGAAAATTTTTAAGTATTGTTAGCCTATTTGATTCTTTTCCCTCACTTTCAAACATTAAGCAAAATGTCACTTGTTTTAAACTTCTTCAAGGATTATTATCTAAAAAGACTTTAAAAGATGAACATTTATTGGTAAAAACAAATGCTTAATGAACTAATTTTCTATAAGCTTAACAGGTGAATCAAACTTTTGCATAATTTTCACTTAATCTGAAAATTCAATGTGGTATACAGACAAAGGCTTAAAATAAACTATTGTTTAGCACTGCTTACTGAGCCCAAACCTAATCTTGAACTCTTGGGAAATAAACTATTGTAAGTATCTATTTGGCTGTTTCTTGGATAAAAGCATAATAAATTTTCCTCAATTCCCACTTTCAATCCCAAATGTAACTGTTCACATTTTATAGGCTTTTCTGGTTTTCTCTGAGGCACTGGCTAATGTAGATTATAGTATTTTACCCACTTGGGGTATCCCTTCCATACTGATCCTAAGGGTATATTCATGCTTCTTCTCTTTATCTTAATAAGTTCCTGACCCCAGCTTTTCTCTGACTCTCAGTCATTGAAATTAACTTGAATTTTCAATTATTTAATGAATCTGTGTTCATTTACATCTGCAAAGGACCAAAATGGCCTTCTGATTTCCTGGTATTAAATGTGTGTCTTTCTGAAAGGAATAACAGACTGGAGGCCCTCAGAAGACTATTTTTCTGAATTGTTTTTCACCGAAAGTACTTCCATTATTCAATATTAAAAATAAAAATTAAGCAATTTGAAACTGGACATGTATTTACCTAGAGTCCTGATTTTCCCAGGTATTCCAGAGGTGTGGGAACCAAGGAGCTAAGTTTTTAAGAAAATATCTGAAAACAGACGGAGTAGATGCCATATTACATGGTGGTTGAGAGCATGGAGTCTGAGTCCATGGGCCTGGACTCACGTTCTGGAAGTACCATTTATGAGCCATGTGAGCTAATACCTTTAAAAGGTATTTAAGTTTTCTATGTCTCAGATTATTCAGATATGAAGTGAAAACAAGGTTTTCAGTGGTACCTGCTTTGTAAGGCTGTTGTAAGGATTAAATAAGGTAATACCTTTTAAGCTTAGCATGTACTAAATCCCTCAATATGTGTCAGCCATTCTATCATATTTCCATGTATTTTATTCTAATACTTCCTCCTCCCTCTGCCTGGACCTGTGGGGAGCTCATGCAGGACTCCATATTTACTGAGATGTCACGCCGTGCTTTTAAACTCCAACCGCAGTACTCGGTTCTGTGGATGCGCCATAATGCCTCCAGTCCAAGCTTGGTTCTGGTCCAATTCCATGATCCTCAGACAGGTATAATATTTCTGTTTAGTTGCTCTAAAGAAAACAGAGTTGAGAACTCGCCAGGCTATAAACATCCTGGAAGTCAGACAGGCTTCTTTTCTATGGAAGTAAGTGCACTGTCTTCATATTCTTATCTGAAAAAATAAAAGGAGGTGTGTTTCTGCAGAGAGGAAAACAGTTTTGCCAAATGAAGTGAAAAATTCAGTACTCTCTGTTTCTTCCCACAGTGTCCATAAATATGCTGATGCCGTTTATTTTACCAGCTGGGATTTGAGACCCTGCTGAAATGAGAGATGCCCTCAAATTCTACCACAAACCACACTTCTTGGGAGAGAAAAAAAAGTCGCCATGTAAGCATGTTTACCTTCAACTGACTAGGAAGTTGAACCTTGTCCACAAGTGATGACTCACCATTGTAGGCCTATAAAAGTAAAGGTGCTCGTCTGTGGGAAGGCAGCAGGCTTCAGGCACAGCCACTCAAGATGCACTCAGGTGTCCTGGCTGCCTTCCTCTTCTTGAGCTGGACACAGTGTTGGTCCCTGCCCATTCCCAACGATGAGGATGATGAAGATTTGTCTGAGGAGGACTTCCAGCTTGCAGAGGTAGAGTGTCTCACCAACCCCAATGATGCGATATATGTCATAAATGCCTTTGTCTTTCAAGCACAGGTCATTTTGGTCTCTTTTCTAGCACTACCTGAAGTCATACTACCATCCCCGGAACCCTGCGGGCATCCTGAAGAAGACTGCGGCAAACTCCATGGCTGACAGGCTCCGAGAAATGCAGTCTTTTTTTGGCTTGGAGGTGACTGGCAAGCTTGACGACAACACCTTAGACATCATGAAAAAACCAAGATGTGGAGTTCCTGACGTGGGCGAATACAATGTTTTCCCGAGAACTCTCAAGTGGTCCAAAATGAATTTAACCTATAGGTAAATCATAGGCTATCTTTCTGTATATTTTGTTAGTTTTTTAATAGTATTAAATGTCTAATTTTCAGCATAAGCTACAGATGGCAGACTATGTATGGTCCCATTTTTTAAAAAGATAGGCCTTAAATATTTAACTGGAAGTAAAATAAGTCCGGGAATAACTTTAATACTGTTGATGAACATGTCTCATAGCATCAATTATCATTATGTTAACTGGAGTCATTTTTTCATTGGAAGTTTCAAAGTATTTCTTTCAGATATGACTCAAAATAGAAATAAAAGTAGGCTTTGCAAAATTTTCAAAGGTTGTGCATAAGGCATATTTATTATAACAATGCTAAAAAGAGAGAGTTCTACTCTCTCCAGGAACTTTACAGAATTATTCATTTGTTGAGGTTATAGCAGTACAGTTCTAAACTTTTAGCATGCAGTATAAGTTTTATTAAACATCTGAATACTTTAAATTTAAAGTGCCAATTAGTCAGATATTTGGAGATACTCAAAATGTCTGATTGAATTTTTCATTTTAAAATCTTTGTATGACATCATAATTAATAAGTTAAAACAGCAGATCCCTAGTAGGACTTTTCGAGAAGCTATTACATTCTGAGTTAAAAAGCTGTATTCCAAGAAAATATACTCTAAAATAACTTTCACCTTCTAAAAATGAAATTGAAACTTTTTCTGTTGACTAGAATTGTGAATTATACCCCTGATATGACTCATTCTGAAGTCGAAAAGGCATTCAGAAAAGCCTTCAAAGTTTGGTCTGATGTGACACCGCTGAATTTCACCAGACTTCACGATGGCACTGCTGACATCATGATCTCTTTTGGAACTAAAGGTAATAATACAGAATCATGTTTGGAATATTTGTATATTCTGCCCCCTAACCGGCTCTGTTTTAAATGTATTCTTTAAGTCATTCGTTGCTTTTTACAGAATTCAACAAAAACTCACCAAGCTCCTGTGCTAGGCACCAGTGGGTATAATTAGATTCTGAACTCTTGCTTTTGTGTAGAGCATGGCGACTTCTACCCATTTGATGGACCCTCTGGTCTGCTGGCTCATGCTTTCCCTCCTGGGCCCAATTACGGAGGAGATGCCCATTTTGATGATGATGAAACTTGGACAAGTTGCTCCAAAGGTAATATTTCTTATAAAGATATAATTAATGATTATGAGATTAGATTAGACAGTGAACCCATTGATAAGAAGTTAGAACACATACGCATTATATGCAAAAGCATATAACTTATATTTGGTATTTGATTATATTTTTTAAAACAGTATAAAGGTTTATCCTATACTTATTAGTCTCTAAAGTGACATTTCTATAAACCAACATAAAAACATTAAAAAATAAGCAGACTCTGCCTAGTTTAGTGACTTAAGAGATACTTGCTCACTTGGAAATGGACCAAAATGTCTTCCTGCTGACCAGTGCGTTGTTACTGTGGGTATCTTTTGGCCTGTAAGTGCAGTTAATTACAGACATTTATCTTAAAACTACCAGAGCTGTATATGTGGATCAGAGATGAGTTGAGTGTGAGTTTAAATGGTTTTTATTTATTTATTTTTAATTTCTACCCTGGTAGAAATATTAAGGCACAAGCCCAGTCAAATTTCTGTTTCCTGTTGGGTGAGTTACCTGTCCCAGACTGGTCTGTATCACTGACTTTACACCTACCATCTGACAGACCAAGATAGTGTCTCACTCTAGACAGCATGAGGCAAACAAGATGAAAGTTGTATTTACAAGAGAAAAATGAAACTGAGGGTGGAATAACTTCAGTCAGTATTTGAATCTTCAAGGCTCTAAAGAATTGGAAATGTTAATTTTGGAAAAACAGGTTGTTCCAACTATGACTTGGGATAACTGAAGCTGTACTAACCCTGAGTTGTGACAGTTAGAGGTAGTCTTTATAGACAGCTCATTTTTATTATTAATTTAAATTTAAAGGATTATTTTTTCAAAGAGTAAAACTGGGCCTTGAATGATCAATGTCTCGACTCCTCTGCCTCCAGTCTGTCTTTGGAAGGAAAGATGAGAGTTTACATGCTTATTTTCTGACAATTTCATAGGTAAGAATGGTTTTAGACAGAAAGAACAACATTTAGTATTTTTAAGCTAGAGTCACAATAAATCTCAGTTTTAGGTTTCTGCATAAATTCTGGGTTTGAAGGATTTAATTGAAATTAAGGAAAAGATCCACAAATATAAATCAGGATTAACGTTTCAGCTAAAGGCCAAAATGGTGTCCACTACTAGTCACTTCAGTGACCAATTACTGGTCACACCGATTATGTGAACTTGGATTGCTCTCAGGTTCTGCACGATTTATGCATTTTCCTCATGCATAGGCTGTAGCAGCAAAGGGGATTTGAGGTCAAATTGAAACCACGGGCTCCAGTTTTCATGTGTTCTTTTTCTTTTCATCTTTTTCTGATGTAAAATACTAGTACAGTATCAGGGGGCTAAAAAAACTGGTGGAAAGAATAAAGAGGAAATAATGTAAATACAGAATCATAATCTTTTCACGTAGAGGAAAGTTGGACAATCTTCTTCAGAATTTCTGTTTCTGTGAACCCTGAGGTCTGGAGATATTCTGAAAAGGGTCATTTGGATGGACTTTGCTCCCAAGTAGATTCTCAGAGACCCCATTCACCGTGCTCTCCATACCTGGTTTCCATCCTTTTGGATGCCACCTCCTGTTTGGATGGTGTTCCAGGCAGCATCCTGTAAATAGGATGAGGAAGTAGACTTACAGTTTCTTGTGTAGAAAAATAATACAATAATTAATCAATAATTATACAAGAATAAACTCTGCTCTGTGTACTCACCACCGTAAAGCCCCTTTGACCACCCTGCATGAACGCTCACGTAAGGTCACCACAGTGCACTCTCCTCCTCTGCCCTTGAAAAAACAGAGAGCAGTCAGGATTGCTGGTAAATTCTTATTGATTATAATTACTTGAGAGCAATCTGTTGCTATTCTAATTATGTGCAACTATAGTAGTGAGAGAACCCAGTTATTTATAAAAATTAAGCCAATTTTTGAATCTTACCTTAAGCAACTGAATGGTAATTTTAAAAAGTGAGTAAAATATCAAAGGACAGGAAATGATGACATGTAAAATGAATGAGGAAAATAATGTTCCTTTCATTATTAGTAGTAGTCAGTGGAGGACCTTGTTTTCTCCTTGTTGCTGTGTTTTCGTACAGGCTACAACTTGTTTCTCGTGGCTGCCCATGAGTTTGGCCACTCGCTAGGTCTCGACCACTCCAAGGACCCGGGGGCACTCATGTTTCCCATCTACACCTACACCGGCAAAAATCACTTCATGCTTCCCGATGACGATGTACAAGGGATCCAGTCTCTCTATGGTAACTCTTAATTTATTAGCTTAAAAACAAATTAGATACGTACATTTATTTAATAAATTATCAGTGAATTTACCATGATCACTTCTGCTGTTGTAGTATTGTTATTAAACCCTGAGAAAGCATGCCCATTTGTTTTTTCCAAATCAACCTACCTGCTCAAGTAGAAAGTATTCTGTTCTTCAAAGTTTTTATAGAATATGACTCTTTATATTTGTACTTTCTATGTTGCAAGGTACATTTGATACCTTAAAAACACCTCTGACATAAGAAAGGAAAATATTTTATGCCCCATTTAACCAGTGGAGTCACTAAGCCCTGCAGAGTTTGAATCGCATATCTACAGCTGAGGGTGAAAGTGATATCTCACCCAGCTTTTATACACTCTGGGCATTCTTTCAATCACTCTAGTTTGCCACAGTATAAACCATTCAGGTGGTCTGTAATAATTTTTAATCAACATATACATTGACCACTGTATGACTCTCTTCCTTTTTTCCTTCCAAGTTGTCAATAATATTTATAAAGTCATTAAACATAAACCCAAGCAAGCAAAATTACCTGCCAAAAATAGAGTTGAAGCCTCGGTGCACAGTCTGATATCAGTGTAAACACTTCCAGTGCACAGCTTGGAAAACTTGCTCATACCACCCAACCCATTACTTCCCTTCTGGATTTAAATCTACTATAGCAGCTAGTGTGGGTGTGGGCAAGTGCTTTGCAATTCTTACTATTTCTACAATCCTGTGACCAAGAGACTTGATGATAGAACCCATATGAACTAGGTGGAGAAAAAGCAGTTTAGAATGGTTTTTGCGTACCGCACCCCTTTGGCACTCCTGTGAGCCGGCAACGTTACAGTCACATGGCAAATCACTTTAGTGTTGTTGAAGGCCTGGCTCCGGCTTTTCACTGAGCTGCAGCTGCACTGTGGTAAACTGTGGAGCAACATTAGCTGATGTGGACAGATGGAGAAACAGGCAAGAGAAAGGGCTCAGATAAGGACTCCCACAGGGATGATGGGCCACCAGAAATGGCTTTAAGAAGAATGTGTTTCTCAAGAGCTGTCTCTCACAAAGTTGTGCAAAGAATGGGGAAATTTCCTCAAAGTACCTTACTCTCATTTCTGTCATCATCCTCAAGAAATGTAAATTTGTGCTTCAGATGAAACTCAAAGGGTCTTGAAGGAGGAAAGCAGAAGGGGAAGTCCCACCTTCAAGACCTTGGCAGCCCTGGAGGAAGGAAGTAGGACTATGTGGTATTTGTACCACCACGTAGGAGCAGCAGGATTTCCTATCCCCCATCCCCAGAGGGAACCCACTCCGACTCTCCATTAGCAGGGTCGGGTCGTCAATAAGGTCATCCCTGGTAACTTCTTTCATTTATTTTATAATCACAGGTCCAGGAGATGAAGACCCCAACCCTAAACACCCTAAAACACCAGACAAATGTGATCCCTCTTTATCCCTTGATGCCATTACCAGTCTCCGAGGAGAAACAATAATCTTTAAAGACAGGTAGGTATTCTTGACATTATTTTATATAATCTGCATGTAACAAACATCTGTGAAGCCATGTCCACAGATTGCCCAGATATCCGGTCATACTTCCAACGGTGTAGTTAACAGTGGCAGTAATAGAACTTTGAGCAGTTTATTTGCATATTTCAGGTAAAATAAATGACTAATGAATAACGTTCACTTTTCAATGAATAACCTTGGCATTGTGCAGATATATTTATTTCTTTGGTATTGTCTTTTTTAGAAAGATAATCAAGTAAATATATAAATACAATTTTTTTAAGAGCACAAGTGTGGAAATTAGATACCATGTTAATAGTTTATTAACTATTAATGTATTAACTGTTACTCGTAATGTCCACACGGACTCCTTTGGTGTGAAAGGCTTTGTACTGAGTACATATGTGGGGATACAAGACAGGGAGTGCTTCATGACCTAAACCTGTAGGTAATGAAAAACGAAACAGTAATTTTTAATATTGATATGTTTATAAATAAGCTTTTTTTTTCATTCACTCATTCATCAACTAATCGTTCCCTCATCTGTGACCCATTCGAGTTTCTACCTCCTCTGTTATAGGTACAGTGACACTATACTGTACTGCAGGTATTTTCTCATTCGTGTTCCCCAGGCCATGAGATCTTGGCCAATGCAGTTTATGTAACTCATGTTTTCTTTGTAGAGCTCTATGCAGGGCCTGGTATATTTGCTCACCACTTGCAAAATGTGGAAAATTGAGCAAAACACAGCCTCAGCCCACGAAAGACTTACAGCCTTTCACAAAGGTTCTGTGAGACTTTAAATTTTAATACTTAGGCTAGAGTCAGAATAGCAACAGCTTGGTTAACTGGCACCTAAGGGAAAATGGAAACCTTTCCCTCCAGCACAGATGTTAGAGAATGGTCGTGTCTAGTTTGTCTGCATCGATGTAGAGACAGGTGGCTAGCAGGGTGAAAATACTGCATTTACAAAGTGACAGAAAACTGTACTTTTATTTTTGTGTTAGATTCTTCTGGCGGCTGCACCCTCAGCAGGTTGATGCGGAGCTGTTTTTAACAAAATCGTTTTGGCCGGAACTTCCCAACCGTATTGATGCTGCATATGAGCATCCTTCTCATGACCTTATCTTCATCTTTAGAGGTAAGTCTTCCACCGACAAGGCCTCCCACATGTTTCAGGTAGGCACGGATGAACTCGGTGCTACCAGAGACTTAGTAAAATGATCACCCCTGAAAATATACCTAAATTAAGAACCAAATATAACAAAATGGAAAACAGAAAGCACCTGAAACCTTTCTACCTCGTGTCCTCAGATTTTAAATGTAACAAGATTACATTATTATGATAAGTATATAAAGCTATATAATAAATATGTGAGGGGCGTCCCCCAAACTGGAATTTATTTATAAAAAATGTGCATTTATTCTTACATGCTTAAAAACTTCAGTCCCCTTGAAAGTACGCTCTACTTAATGCAATACATCTATTGAGATGTCTTTCCCACTGCTCAAAACAGTTTTTGAAGTCATTGATTTTGATGCCTTTTAGTGCTTCTGTTGTTTTTTATTCACCTCTTCACATCAGCAAAATGTTTCCCTTTGAGGACTTTTTTTTTTATCTGGGAAACCCAAACAAAAAAACGTTGCTCAGGGCAAGATTGGGTGACTAGGGAAGGTGGGGGTTGTGAAGTTTTGGTCAAAAACTACTCAACACTCACTGCACCAGTGTGGGCAGGTGTGCTCATAGACTATGCATCACGAAAGGAGCAAATGGATTCACTGAAGCCAAACACAGCCTCTCACAACAACCCCAGCTGGTACACTGATGTAGACAGGTTCCTAGAACACTCATCTAGCAAGAAAGCCTGTATTACAAGGGGCCTGACCTCCAGAAGATAATTCTGGTTATTTTGAAAATACTTACTTGTATATGAAAAATACTTACTTTTTGTTTCATAGCAATCATGTCAGTTTTTCTATTTTCTTTAAAAAAATTGTTTACAGCCCTGGCTGGGGTGGCTCAGTGGAGTGAGGGCCAGCCTGTGAGCCAAAATGTGGCTGACTTGATTCAGTCAAGGCACATGCCCGGGTAAAATCTTTAAAAAAATAAAATAAAAATAAGAATACTTACTGAGCAAGCATTGTAACAATGTAAATTTTAAAAAATTAAAATAATATTATCCATAATTCCCCCTCCTGAAAAGTCTATTTAGCATTTCATTTTCTCACTTTCTTTTATAGTCCTTTGCTATATATAACACTATTTTTAAATATTTATATTCACATTATATATGTACTTTAATATTCTACTTGTTACCTTTACACAACATCATGAAAACTTTTCCAAATTGTCACTCTACCTTCATGACCATGATTTACAGTGGTTACGTAGCATTCTAGTGACATTGTTTCTATCATTTGATTCTTGTAATTAATGCTATAATGAAGTTATTTTTTAGAGACAGAAATAACAAATTTTTATCTCATAAAATTTGAGTTTTCGGTTTATTTACTGTACTACTGTGCTTCTTATTCATGCAGAAATCTTAATGTATTTTTCACCCAGCTTTAAACTTAATATCCAGAGGTAATAAATTGCCAAATTAATTATTATATTTGGTTGGCCATATTCATAATTAGGAAATTAAGACCTTAAGTCATATTTTTCTTTGAAGAGTGCTCATAGTTCTATGTTTCATAAACATGGTGACCAACAACACTAATTTACTTCTAAATAATTGATTCTTGACCATGAATACTAATTTATTTCTAAATGTGTGAGTCTTTCTTTATTAAAGTAAATGTCTATATGTGTGATTCCAAATAGATTCCCTTGGATAATAAAACCATCTTTTACTTATCCTAGGCAGAAAATTTTGGGCTCTGAATGGTTATGACATTCTGGAAGGTTACCCCAAAAAAATATCTGAACTAGGATTTCCGAAAGAGGTTAAAAAGATAAGTGCGGCTGTTCACTTTGAGGATACGGGGAAGACCCTCTTCTTCTCTGGGAACCAGGTCTGGAGGTAGGGCAGCCACGTTTTCTTATTGGTACCTTGTGTCGTAGAGGCAAAGTGAGCCTTGAACAGCTCTCATTGTGTTACATTAGTATCTCCTGCTTTGTTTAAAACATTCAGCCAGTCATATTGGTTTCTGTACTGTGTCATCTCTTACAGGCAGCCTCTTAGACAGAGATTTCAAAGTTTCAAGTCCTCTTGAAAATATACATAGTTATATAATCCTCACCTCACCTGAGCCATCCTTTTCTTTCTTAGCTGTTTGTCATAGATCATCTCTGCTAAAACCATCTTTTTTTACATGTAATGGGAGATCAATAGAAAATTGTTCAATGCATTTACATATGTTGATGTCACCCTAAGAATGCTTTCCTAATAACACTTCTATAACAGACATGCAATTTGTAAAATGGAAATGAGCTTGTAACTGTCTTTACAAAGATGGCCTTTAGGCAAGTAAAAAAATACTCACCAAACATCCACTAAAAAATACTCAGGGTTATAATTCCTTATTTTAAGAAGCTACCAGATGTTTTAAATGAACTTAAAATGCTTAAACTTGTCAATTTTGAAAGATGCCATTATATGTATTGTATCATTTTTAAGGTAATTTCTAAAAAAATGCAACCTACTCAAGAAGTTTTTTTCTTATTAATAGCTACGATGATACTAACCATACGATGGATAAAGACTACCCCAAACTAATAGAAGAGGAATTCCCAGGGATTGGTGACAATGTAGATGCTGTCTACGAGAAAAGTGGTAACTAATACTATTTCACTGACTGTAATGGAGAGCCCCTCAGAATCATTTCCCTTCTAGAAGGTTTTTATACAGGACTTAGATGTGATAATAAATGCATGGCAGTTAAGAAATTAATCATTCCTGTGTGAATACTTCCACAGACAGCAAACAAAAAATATTGTGCTTAGAATAAATGACAATTTTATTTAATCATTGCTAGTCCTACAAATAAAAGATATCAAACCTCAAACATTATCTTAAACCACACTTAAAGATGCCAGGATGCAAGGAGTATTGCCATAATTCAAATCATGGGTAGGGTGGGGAGTAAGTTACATATGAAGGCCAATGGATTATAATGATTTTTACTTGAATTATAAAAAGGGACATTATCCCTACCCTACAACAAACAACTAATATCCATACTGCAGACATCAAAACAAGAGCTCGTGACAAGACAGCAATGTGAGGTGGTAATTTAGGAGAGCTGGAAACCTTTAGACTGTTTTTGTCCCTTAAACTATAAGCAATGTATTAAAGCATTAGTAGGGTCTATGAAGAGAAGTAAGATAAACACTGGCATGTTAAAAAATGTGGCATCTATTTAAAAAAAAAGCGACCTCTGGATCAAAAGGGGTGGGGGGTGGGGGGGGGGGAAAGTTTTAAAAAATAAAAAAAAAAATGTGGCATCTAACAGAATAGACTTCTAATGGTAGCTGGAGTAAACCCTTATTGTTTTCAAACTAAAAAATATTTTTGCTCTTTTTCTTATAGGTTACATCTACTTTTTCAACGGGCCTATACAGTTTGAATACAGCATCTGGACTAACCGCATCGTCCGTGTCATGCCAGCACATTCCCTACTGGGGTGTTAAGTGTCTTTTAAATATTGTTATTTAAATCCTGAAGAACATTTGGGATAATACTTCTGAGGGTGTGGGAGGGACGGGCCGGGAGAGGGAAAGGTGTCAGGGGAAAGCTTCGTTCTGTGAACAAGCTTCAGTAAGTTATCTTTGAATATGAAATATCTATATGGCTGTTATGTGGCTGGAACCACATTGAATTTTCAGATAATGAAATTCAGTATCTCTAAGGATCACTTAATTCTTGTGTGTGATATAGGAGCAATTATTTGTTATATGTGCCACATAAAAAATGGAACATAAGGTATGTCAAAGAGACTTTCCATAATTTTTAATATATTTATAAGAAAATTTTGCAAGACATAAAAGTAAATCACATTTATCTAATTAATAAATCATCTTTGTCAAAAACTATAAAATAATATTAAAAGAGAATTTGGGAGACCATATGGTAGCTACAAAAGAACAAAGATAAGCCAAAGGGAAATGTCTGTCTGTAATAAATATATTGTAAACAGCTGTACAAAAATAGCACAGGTTTTGCTTTGAAAGTATTTGTAACATTTGAAAATATTACAGACACTAAGGACATATCAAAGTCACCAAAGATGGGAGACTAAATATTAGTCTCACTATTAGACAAAGTCTAATAGTAAGGACAGTAGATGTGACCTTTGGATTCTGTTTAATTTTCACTTTTGGCAATGACTCAATGGCTACTCTCAAAGAAGACAAATGTTTCTTTTCATATTTATAGAAGATAAAGAAAATCTCTTTGTATTTAAACATTTCAGGTCTTTCAAAAATGTCAAAGTATTAAAATTGTTATCAAAATGATTTAAGACATAGTATCACTTTCTCATAAATTATCTGATTAAGACAAAAAGTAGCATTTTACCCTATTTTTATTTTAATTGTCTAGTTTACTTGGGATATGTAGGCTGTACAGATATAGACTAAAATGTACTCCTCATAGATGCGAAAGATATATATTAAAATAGAGACTCCCAAAAGAAAGAAAACAGTTTAAATAGATTGTAGCCCTCTTGAGGATGTGCAACAGTGCTTTTTTCTTTCATTTTTTGGTCAAATCCCTCAGAACCTTTTCCAGTGCCTGGTGCCTGGTGTTTATTGAACATACGAATGGCCATTGAGGGAAGGATCATTGTGCTGAGGACCTTGTTTATAAAAACTCAGGCAAAGAAAATAAAGTGTGTTATATTTGCAAAATGTATTAGGAAATATTTATATTGTTTATAATAAAAAGATATTTTCAACATATGGTGTTATATGGTATATTTTGTCTTTTGGTGTATTTTAAGCTTCCCTCAAAAAATGTCCATTTAAATTATTCCTTTTTCTTGCCGATGTTTCTTGGTGAATGTAGCTCACTCACTGTTCTAGTTTGTTTTGTTTGTTTTTTGTAAGAAGACTGAATCCAGAATTTAGAATGAATTGTACCAGGCTATATTAACTAAAATTCCAACATAGTTTGGTCAGCCTGGTATTGGAACTGGAACTGGAACTGGTACTGGAACTGGTACTGGTACTGGTACTGGAACTGGAACTGGTACTGGTACTGGTACTGGAACTGGTACTGGAACTGGAACTGGTACTGGAACTGGTACTGGTACTGGTACTGGAACTGGAACTGGTACTGGAACTGGTACTGGTACTGGAACTGGTACTGGTACTGGAACTGGTACTGGAACTGGTACTGGAACTGGAACTGGTACTGGTACTGGAACTGGTACTGGTACTGGAACTGGAACTGGTACTGGTACTGGTACTGATAAGCCCCTTTTGGGGCCAGCCTGCCTATGAAGTGGAAAGAGCAATAGATCTGGAGTTCTAATGTTCACTCTGCCCTCAACTCTGCATGACTTTAGTCAGGTCATTTAGTCTCTCTGGGCTTTACTTGTCTGATGTTTAAAATGAGAGGATTGGCAGCTCTGGTGAAGTTGGGGAAATATGGGGAGGCAGGAAACTCTAATGAAGTAGGCAAACACTGTCTGTTTGGGAATATCAGTGTCCACTGAGCTTAAGACATTTGGTCCCCTCTGTTTTCCTAAACATTGTCCATCCCCCCACATTTAGTAAGTGTCTGTTTAAATGCAGGCACATAAGATGTTGAGATGAACCAAAACAACTTGGTTTCTACCCCTGAAGAGCTTCTATTCTACTTTGGAGATAAAAACAATAAAAACTCAGTGAATTAAGGGCTTTCTCAGGGAGCAGTGACCACTTCTCTGGTGCAGAAAAATCTGCTGATTTCTTTCTCCCAGGGTAGCCCCCAAAGTAAATCTGTGCACTTTCATCTTCCTTGACACTTTAGTCTGATTCCTGATTTCTCAGGTTTACTGTTAGGGTAGAACACAGTCCGTCCACCCATCCATCCAATAAATATTAATTGAGCACCTAACTAAAGTAGATGCTGGGGATACATTGAAGAGAAAAACCTCATTACTTTTGTGGAGCTCACAGTCTAGTTGGGGTCACAGATACTAATCAAATAAGTACACATTACAATTGGGATAAAGAAAAGAAACTCGGTGCCCCGAGAGCATCTAATAAGACTGCTCTAAAGTGTATATAGGGGGAGGAACATTGCAGGGTGGTTCAAGAAATGCTTCACAATAGAAGCGATACTCGAGCTAATGTCAAAAATGAACAGAACTGGGCAGTGAAGGGAATCGGAGAGGGCTCCAGGCTCATCCCGCCAGACTGGAGTGGATATGTTGAATGAAGCTGAGTGGGGAGTTTCGGTTGTGTTTCATGATGATTTTGGCAGAGTAGAGATGGGTAAACTACTGAGAAAACCCTTAGATCCAAGAATGTTCCTCCTAGCTTTCTCGATGCCAAATATAAATTAATGGATCAATAAACAAACAGAAAATTAGCATGGGTCATTCTAGGGATTGGCATGGGAATATCTACCTTTTAGTAATTGAGTCAGGTGATAGAAACATTAACTTTTTTGAGCACTTGGCTGCTTTTTCAACATTAGTCTGAGAGAAGGTCTGCGCCTGTCCCTGTAAGAGCACAGGGGAGGGGCTTCCCCAGTGAACATAAGTCTGTCTCGGCCCAGTGAACGCAACCAGTGTGGTACAGGGCCACTCACTGTCCCCAGCCCTAGTCTCGAGCAGACAGCTGAGCTGACAGGGAAACACCAGGTGGATGGTTTCCAGTTCCTGTCTGCACAGGAAAGGCTGCTCTGGAACAGAGTTTCTCAAGGTGTGTCCTGCAGACCAGCAGCATCAGCACCACCTGGGAACTTGCTAGAAATGCACATTTTGTGCCACCGCAGACCTACTGCATGGGAAACGCTAGCTTAGGACCCACATATTTGCGTTTTAACAAGCCCTCAGATCCCTCCGTTCCCACAGTCCTTCAGAGAATGACTAAATGTGTGCTCCTTGCAACACCTCTCCTGGGAGAGAGTGCCTGGGTATCACCGGGGCTCAAAACTTTCTGGTATAATTGTGGGGTCTTCTATACCCCCTTCCAGAAAATTTATAGTGCACAATAGTATATAAAGTTTACAAGTAGCTCTCTGGCAAAGCAGCTGTTTAACTTTGTTGAAAAGGGTTTTTCAAACACATTTGAACATGGGAACTTCTTTACTTTTATTCTTCATCATTTAATTGCATGGTATCCCCCTTCCTGTCTTGCGTGGATGGATGGATGAGTATAGATGATAGAGTAGATAGATGGTAGGTAGGTAGCTAGCTAGATGATAGATAGATAGATATGGGTGTAGAGTCGAGATTATTTCTCTACTCCCATCTCTGCTTCATTCTCAATTCCAAATTTTAATCTGGTTGGTGTTACATGAATCTGTGTTCTTCCACTGTGACCAAAACATTGAATTCAAATGATCACAAATGTCTATTTTGAGCTTACCAAAGAGGGTAAGATAAGCTCCAAAGACATCATTATGAGTTCAGCAGTTGCTTCTCATGGGAGCTGATATAAAATATGTTACAGTTAAAATACTGTTAGGTCATTCATAAGTGACATGGGGAGGCCAAGTGAATGTTTTATGAGAAGTAGTACTATGTCCACACATGTTGGAGGGCCTTTGGTGGAGCTAACATTTTGGGCAAATGCACTGGACTCAAGTTGAATTGCACCTAGTAATCGCCTCCTTATCAAATAGTGGGGAAGGAATTTGAAAAACCCCTGAAAGTGAACCAATAGTGTTTGAAATTGGAGCCATTGACAAGATCTATGCTGATATACCAAATTTAGTCCCAAAAATTATTCTGGGAGGACTTTAATGTTAAATTAAAAACAGTGCCTTGGACCTCCACATCCTCATGTCAGAAAAAATGCCAAAACATACATTACAAGAACTCATAGAAAGATAACCGCCATAACTAGTTCCCAAATTTAAGTTCCAGTCACAGAAAAAACCTTGATTTAAGGATTCATCACAAGACGGTGAGATTCACAGTAGTTCCACTAGGTGGCACCAGAAATACTCTTTAAATGCTGAAAGGTTCAGACAATTAGAATAATTCACAAAACTAGTGCTTTCTCCTTTAATGCAGGGATGAGGAACTTGAACAAATCACTGCTGGTTTAATTTCTGACTTTAGAACAGGTGGCTCCAGGTTTCTTATTCATGTGTGTCTTTGTCGCTATCCCCTCAACAATAATGCTTTCTTCCCGGAAGTGAGCATTGGGATGGTGCATCATTCCGAGCCACCATGACCCGTGGAAGGTTCCTTGGAACTAGAGCTGTGAGTCATCCACAGGCCTCTCTGGGTGACAAACTCCAGCATGAGCCACAAAAAATCCAGTGTACACAGAGGAATGGAATTGTCCTCAAAAGAGTGACCAAACTAGCCAGCGTCAAGAGGGAAAAAAACCTCGAATTACAGGGACTATTATCTGGATGGAGACAAGGTCAAGTTTAGAGGAAAAGAATGCCTAATGTTTCCAAAATTTCTTTCTCCCACAGTTTAGTTTTTCCAGTATTTTTGGAGTTTCATGCCTAGGGTGTGTGAAAAGCTGATTTCAAATTTCTTGGCTTTGTTCTACCTCACTGCTCATTAAGCA